CGCTCTCAAAAAAAAGCCGAGAGTTGTGAGAGCAATCAAGGAAAAGGCAGCAATAGAGAAATTACAATATACAACTCCATCAAGAGAACAGTGTCTATGTTTTCGCTCTGCGAGACAAATGATAAGAGAATCCAGAGTTCTAGTTTGGGCAATTGCACGGATGTCGGTTTTCTGTTGTCATATCTGGGTAATTCATATGTGGTGGCTACTCAAAGTCCTCAGCTCTGCGTCCTGCGTCATTCTTTGCGACCTTGCTATTTAACACTCTTTTATCTGAGACCGGCAAGCTGGGCTTAAATACATTTCCGGTTATTAGCCTTAATCCAGCCCCCTTTTGCTCCTCCTGTGGCTGCCTCTGTCCAATTCAGCCTGTTGGGCTATCTGTGAATTTATATTAGGACTGCGATATATTCCTCTCTTGAACTTTATCATGTTGTTATCTTCCTTCCTTAGTGGCTGGGGTCGCCCAGAGTTGCTGTTGCTGTTGCTGTTGCTGTTGTTAGAGCCCCTTAACCACTTTAATTGTGCAAAAACCTAAAGATCTGGCATGTGTTGGAATCCCTCTCACCAAATACTGAGAGTTTAGAGGCATCCTTGAGAAAACGTGCCACCATTCCTGATCATCTCACTGATTATCCCCAATTATAATCTCCTATGGAACCTTGGTGTTTCGAGAACGGAGTTTGAAAACGACTATTTCAGTAGCTTCTGAAACAGATGGCTTGTGCTCAGTACAATTAAGGGATTATCAAATGATCTCTCAAACCCATGAAATGTTCAGGGAGTTGTATTTGTTCATTGAGAGCGGCTAATCTTTGTCTCTGCATCATCTTTGCTTCACAGATCCCCAGCGTGTAACTGAGGAGGGCAGTCAGGCACAAGAGAAAAGGTCATCGAGACTGAAACAAGCATGGGCAACCAAAACGACAACAAACACTGGCTTGCGTTGAGTGGGCTGGATGACCGATGCCAGCAGGAAAGGAGAGCCAGACACATCGCCCGCCCTAGATGAGTCAGACCCCGATCTAGACTATGAAGAAGATGAGGAGGACGAAGGGAGGGAGGGTGAGAGGGAAGAATCGGACACCTGCAGCATCCTTTCTGATGACTCTGTGTACCCCATCTATGAATCTGCTCCGTCTGCCAATGGTGATGGCACGACGCTCACGTTCTACCAGATCTGTCTCAAGAACGATGCAAAGCTATTGCAGGAGAAAATTGACAGAGGGGTGACCAGGGAGGAAGTCATGGAGCTGGACATCAACGGACGGGTAACTGGACTTCTCACAGCAGCACCTAAAAGCTAGCAATAAAATGGCCTAGGGGTGAATAGAAGGCCATGACTCTTAGCCATTCTTTAGAACAGAGCCATAGCCCAATCATGGCCGTTTTCTAGTCCAAGAAACCATCCCTAGCATCGCTGTCCTTAACAGGAAGCCATGGTAAAACCATCTCAGCCATGCAGTGAATTTGACGTGCCTTGTGGGGTGGCGACTACACAGCAAGTGGTCATTGTACCGCTCCACTGTGTGTTGGTGGCTAGCTCCATCAATTTTGACTGACTACGTGTTTGGCTGGGTGGCCACCAAGTGGGGTGTGCGAAACAAAATGCAGTCAAAGGCATGAATGAATTAGAGAGTTACCTGAGGAAGGCCATTTGTCCACACTACAACCGATCTGGTAATGTCAGGGAGCCAACAGGCAGAGCAGGTCATTCACAGGTGTGTGTGTGTGAGAGAGAGAGAGACGTTTGGCAAAGTTGCAGTTAGTTTCTCTATTAAGGAAAGCAAAACACAGAGAGAGAGATCTAAAGGGAAAGCCAGTTGTTCGAACCGGCTTGTAGCGCCTCCTTCACTCCTGTGCCCTCTGTTGTCAGGCCCCTTCCTCTGTGATCTTCTGCTACAGCGAGCTCCAAGGGACACCCTCTGTGTCTGCCTGGCTCGCTTCTTGGCAACACACAAACAATCGTTCTAGGCATGGGTTGGGGGCTGGAAAGAGAAGCTGTCAGAGTAGCTCTGAGGGAGAACTGCACGGTCTACCCCTCCTGTGTCCTTGCTGTCTGTCAGCGCCTGTATCCAAACTGGAAACCTCCTCGGCCTGTTCTGTCTCTTCGCTGTCCCTCAAGAGCCCTGATTCTAACGGTTCCCAGCGCATCCCCTCCTCTGAGGTGTGGCCAGTGTCCCACCACCAGTCCCCAGGCTCGAAATCCTCTTCCTCTGTGCCTTTCCGGGGGGGGGGGTGTGGCTTAGTTATGCAGATTCCACATGTAAGTTCTAGAATCCCATGCTTATGCACGGCTTCTCCCCAGCGCTTTATCCTGGGATTGAAATTAGGACCGAGTTAGACCATCAGTTCATCTAGGTCAGGAGTCTGCAACCCGCGGCTCCGGAGCCGCATGTGGCTCTTTTACACCTTTGCCGCGGCTCCGGGGCAGATACTAGCGAGGGGAGGAGGCGCATTGTGCGCCCCGACATTCCCCACTGTGGCGGGCGCTGTACTGGCTGTGACGTCGCATGGGGGCGGTGCGTGCGTTAGTCACACACCGTCCCGACGTCACCTTCCCACCCACTGTCAGATCGGAGGGCAGCGGCGCGCATGCTTTAAATGTCGCAATGGTTTTGCGGCTCCCAGGTTTTTTTCCCTTCGGAAATGGGTCCAAGTGGCTCTTTTTGTCTTAAAGGTTGCAGACCCCTGATCTAGGTCCATTCCTGTCCACACTGACTGGCAGTGGCCCTTTTAAGGTTTCAAACCAAGAGTCTTTCCCAGATCTGCGTATAAAGACATGCCAGGGATTGCTCCTGGGAACTGTTCAATGCAAATCGTGCTTACTGAGCCACAGCCCCACCCCTGCATTGGCAGCATTGGTGCCCTGCTATCGATAACGCAAACAAAGGACTTTGTTCCTGAGTGGTTTATAAATATCGCAAAAGAATGAAAAAAAAGAAGAAGAAATGTGCTATCATGGCGTTCTAGCCATCCACATGTGTTCAAGTTGTACTTTCTTTCCATGCACGGTAAATAGAGGAACAGTATCAGCCGCATTAGGGACGCAGGTGGCACTGTGGGTTAAACCACAGAGCCTAGGGCTTGCCGATCAGAAGGTCAGTGGTTCGAATCCCCGCAACAGGGTGAGCTCCCGTTGCTCGGTCCCTGCTCCTGCCAACTTAGCAGTTCCAAAGCACGTCAAAGTGCAAGTAGATAAATAGGTACCGCTCCGGCGGGAAGGTAAATGGTGTTTCCGTGCGCTGCTCTGGTTCACCAGAAGCGGCTTAGTTATGATGGCCACATGACCCAGAAGCTGTACACCGGCTCCCTCGAGATGAGCGCAGCAACCCCAGAGTCGGCCACGACTGGACCTAATGGTCAGGGGTCCCTTTACCCTTTACCTTTTATCAGCCGCATTTTGTATTTACAGTGTTACCTCAGTTTTCGAACGTCTCCACTGACAAACGTTTCGGTTTTCGAACGCCGTAAACCCGGAAGTAAATGCTTCCGTTTTCGAACACGCCTCGGAAGTCAAACGGTTTCCACTGAGTGTATATGTTATTTTTTCTCAATTTTCTCTATTAAATCTGCAGGCCGCCCTTTGTGCCTCAGTTTTCAAACGTTTCGGAACTCCAACGGTCTTCCGGAACGGATTATGTTCGAAAACCGAGGTGCCGCTGTATTTCATAACAATTTATATACTGCTTGATTGTAATAGAATCCCAGAGCAGTTTACAAAAGGAATGGACAATTAAATTAACAATTAAAAACAAGTATTTAAAGCATTAGAAAAAAGTAATTTAGGGGGTTTTTTAAAATAAAAAAAAAATCACAACCACAACATTTGTGCTATGTCCTGACAGATAGGTAGCAGTGGCAGGAATGCTATAGGAGTGGCTGTTATTGCTGAGGTGCTGGAACCAACCAGTAACTGGAGCTCAGGCTTTGTGTAGCTGCTGGGAGAGCATCGGAGTCACCCCTGGGGCAGGAAGTGCCATCTTGCTGGGACCAAAGGACTGTGTTTCTGGAACGGGCAAGACAGGCAGGAAGGATGTACCAGAGGTAGCGTCTCTTGCTCAAGTGGCTGAACCTTAACACCTGTTCCCTTTTCCTCCACAGAACGGCCTATTGGTGTCATGTTTCAAAGGCTTCGTAGACATTGTCACCATTCTCAGCAAATGTCCCTACATAGATATCAATCATCAGGATAATGATGGAAACACAGCACTCATGATAGCAGCTCAGGCAGGTAGGAAGTGTCCTGCTTTTATACAGTTGAGCCGGGATGGCAGACAGAGACAAGGAAGGTTGGGTATCTGGCCAGGATTGCTCTACTTCCAATAATGACTTCAGGGGCTACTAACCCTGATGACAGGCTGCGTTCTTCCTCTTCTTCTGGGTACCGGTTGCTGGAAACTGCAGGGTAGGAAAGCACTCTTGCACAAAGATCCTGCTTTTGGGCTTCCATAGGCATCATTTTGGCCACATTAGGAACAGGATGCTAGACTAGATGGGCTGCTGGCCTGATCTAGCAAGGTCTTCTTATATGCTTAATTACGAGTGAGCAGATGATAGATAGATGATAGATAGATGATAGATAGATAGATAGATAGATAGATAGATAGATAGATGATAGATAGAAGATAGATAGATAGATAGATAGATAGATAGATAATAGATAGATAGATAGATAGATAGATAGATAGATAGATAGATAGATAGATAGATAGATGATAGATGATAGATAGATAGATAGATGATAGATAGATAGATAGATAGATAGATAGATAGATAGATAGATGGATGATAGATAGATAGATAGATAGATGATAGATGATAGATAGATAGATAGATAGATAGATAGATAGATGATAGAGAGAGAGAGAGAGAGAGAGATGATAGATAAATGATAGATAGATAGATGATAGATAGATGATAGATAGATGATAGATGATAGATAGATAGATAGATAGATAGATATGATAGATGAGATAGATAGATGATAGATAGATATAGATAGATAGATGATAGATAGATAGATAGATGATAGATAGATGATAGATAGATAGATAGATAGATAGATAATAGATAGATGATAGATGATAGATAGATAGATAGATGATAGATGATAGAGAGAGAGAGAGAGAGAGAGAGAGAGAGAGAGATGATAGATAAATGATAGATAGATAGATGATAGATAGATAGATGATAGATAGATGATAGATGATAGATAGATAGATAGATAGATATGATAGATGAGATAGATATAGATAGATAGATGATAGATAGATAGATAGATAGATGATAGATATGATAGATGAGATAGATGATAGATAGATAGATGATAGATAGATAGATGATAGATAGATAGATAGATAGATAGATAGATAGATAGATAGATGATAGATAGATAGATAGATAGATAGATAGATAGATAGATAGATAGATGATGATGATAGATAGATAGATAGATAGATGATAGATAGATAGATAGATAGATAGATAGATGATAGATAGATAGATAGATAGATAGATAGATAGATAGATGATAGATAGATAGATGATAGATAGATAGATAGATAGATAGATAGATAGATAGATGATAGATATAGATATAGATATCTTGTGATTTTTCGAATTAGCATTCTGGCAATGAGAAGTAAAAGGGGTTTACTGAAAGGTGACGATGAGCTCAGGTTGCAGATGGCCATTCCTCTGTGAAAATTGGAGCCAAATTGTATCATCTCAATAAAGATCAAATTTGATGAATATTCTGAAGGCAAGATGTGCACATTTGAATTCAGGACTCTATTGGCATTCCAGATTTGCAGAGGAGTAACCGTTTCACACTTCCTTCCCTTCCTAATTTATTTGTCTGTTTAGCGCCCTGTGATTTGTTTGTGCAGACTGTAGCCCAGTCTGCATGTAACGCAAAGCCAAACTATGGCTAAGTGCGAACAGGCAAGGGTGCAGTTGCCCAGAGCAAGAAAGGTTGCCGGTTCTTTCTTCCCCCAGTCCTGCTGCCGACATGCTACCTGGAGCTAAGCTATAGTTTGGCTCTGTGGAAATCCAGGCTAATGGTTTGTCTCGCTCCCAATAAACCACAAGCTGTTACTGCAGTTTGTTCTTGGCTTATTGGCCATGGTTTGTTTGGAAGAGGCAGACCATGCTCTCAGGTTTGGACGTAATGCTAAGCTAAGCCATGTCTTAACTCTGCAAAGCAATCATTCTTGGTCTTGCACCCTCATCCTGCCATGGTTTCGCTGAGTATTATGTGTGAACAATGCCTGTGATTGATAGATGGCTAAACCACAAAAAACAGACCCAATTAAAAAACAACTCAAGACGGTTAAATTCACCAAAAGTGAATGGGGGGGGGGGATATGAAACAATGGAGGAGATAGATATAATATAATAATAATAGTCAAGCATCATAGAGTTAGAAGGAACCCTGAGGATGGTCGACTCTAACCTGCTGCAATGCAGGAATATTCAGCAATCCCTTATGGGGATAGAACTTGTAACCCTGGCATTATCAGCACGAAACTCTAATTAACTGAGCTATCCAGCTGATATGTATTTAAACTAGAAGAGTGTGTTTCAAAGTGTATCCATTGTGTTCAATCCGAATGCATTTGTCTTTCTCCAGGATTGAACTCTGCAAGAAAGAAGCAGAATATGGAAGTGCTTTTTTGCAGAAGCAGTTAGCTGTGCATAGCACTGATTGGCTGGTGCCTGTGACTTTACCATGAAATATCCTCTAGTGTTCTTCTCCCAAACACACCTTTTAAAATAATGTTTCCTTTTCCCTTATTTTATTTTAATGGAAAGCACTTTTAAAAATTGGGGGTGGGGGGGGGGATAAACCATCTTTCTGCAGCATGGAGAGAAGGCCAAGACTGACAGCTGAACCAGTGTTTGATTGGCTGGTATTTACATCTACCATTCAAATTCTGAAGCTCAGTGGAGCTTTACTGGCAATCATTGTAGGGCTTTGAGGATCTGGGTAATGTGATCCCCCGCAATGTGCTAGATAACAGTCAGGCGTTGGCATTCTGCATCGGCTGCAGCTTCTATAACATCTTTAAGTGCAGCCCCACCCCCAGTGTAGTAATCTATTTTGGAAGTTATTAACACTGGTTAACTGAGGCCAAGCTGTCCTAGTCCAGGAATGGCCACAGCTGATGGATGGATCAGTCACACCTGGGCCTGGGCATTACTCGCCACCGAAGACACTTAAGCCCCTGGCAATAATTTAGAATCAAGGAGCAACCCCCAAGCCATGAACCTAGTCTTTCAGAGGTCTTCACAGGGACACAATGGTGATTTGGGCTTGTGTCAGGCTGGTAGACATCAGCCATGCACAGAGCCGTCTTACCCATAGGTACTAGGGGTGTGGGGCACCCAGGTGCCAGGCTCTCAGGGGCGCCAGGCCGAGAGTCGGGGCCCAAAGAGTTGAGTCCAGGGAAGAGCCCACCCATCAGAGCGCCACGGTGGGCTCTTCTGCTGCGGGTGGCTCTGCGCCGTGAGTTCAGGGGTGACCGAGCCAGCGAGACGCTGAGGTGGCTGGCCGGCTCTGCCATCCTGTGCACCTGGAACTGGGCAACTGGGGTGTGTGCACTGGGCAGATCTTTGCACCCTGGCACCACATATGCTTAAGACAGCCCTGGCCACTCAATTCCCAGAGGAGAGGAAAGTCTACATGGACAGGAAAATAATTCATTGTGTGTTAACTCTTGTGGTCTTTAGTACATGCTAAACTTCTGGGAAACATTTCAATGCCTAACACCGTTTCTCTCTCTCTCTTTCTCTATCTCTCTCTCCATGAAGGACACATCACTATTCTCAACTATCTTCTGAACTACTATCCAACACTGGAGCTGGAGGTGCGAGACTTGCGGGGTCTGACTGCACTCATGAAGGCTGCAGTACAGGGGAGGAACGACTGTGTTGCAGCTTTGCTCATGGCAGGTATGTCACTCCTCATTAGCCATTTCAGGAGGAAAGGATTTTTAAATCCTTTTTTTAACACCTGCTGCTCATCCTTCAAGTGTTCAACAGTGGCTGCTGCATCTAGCTGCCACTGCAATTTCCTACAATGCCCCAATAATGATGCTGTGTCAGTAGCATTGTGGGAAATTAAGGTGGCAGCTACGGGACGCGGGTGGCGCTGTGGGTAAAAGCCTCAGCGCCTAGGGCTTGCCGATCGAAAGGTCGGCGGTTCGAATCCCCGCGGCGGGGTGCGCTCCCGTTGTTCGGTCCCAGCGCCTGCCAACCTAGCAGTTCGAAAGCACCCCTGGGTGCAAGTAGATAAATAGGGACCGCTTACTAGCGGGAAGGTAAACGGCGTTTCCATGTGCGGCTCTGGCTCGCCAGAGCAGCGATGTCACGCTGGCCACGTGACCCAGAAGTGTCTCTGGACAGCGCTGGCCCCCGGCCTCTTGAGTGAGATGGGCGCACAACCCTAGAGTCTGTCAAGACTGGCCCGTACGGGCAGGGGTACCTTTACCTTTACCTTTTAAGGTGGAAGCTAGACCCAGCCTCTTGGTGCTGCTTAGAAAGCCAAGCACCAGCAGTCTGGCCCTCCAAGTGTCCCAATTTTCCAGGAGCACTCCTGGATTTACAGAAGCCATCCCAGTTTGATTTGATCCGGAATGTCCCGCTTTTCCTTAGGACCTCCCTGTTTTCATCAGAGAAATGCTGGAGGGTATGGAGTTATCTGGCCCCTGAGCCAAGGAGATAAGTAACTGTACAACCTTTAGAAGATATCTGAAGGCAGTCCTGTATAGGGGAGTTTTTTTAATGTTTAATGTTTTTATATATGTTGGAAGCCACCCAGAGTGGCTGGGGCAACCCAGTCAGATGGGCAGGGTATAAATGTTGTTGTTGTTGAGTAGGACGTCCCTATTTTCATCAGAGAAATGCTGGAGAGTATAAGCAAAACATCAGCAATGGGCCCTGCCAGCTGAGAATGCCCCGAGTGTGAGGAGGGGCAGATGGCTCAGACACCCTGGCATTCCTTACCTATGGAAACAAATCCAAGGGAAGGATGTTTTCCCCTTACTATTCAGCCTCCAAAGCAGATACAGTTCTCCTGTTTGATCTACATTCGTACCTTGGTTTTCAAACGTCTTGAGACGTGAACATTTTGGCTCCCGAACACAGCAAATCCGGATGTAAGTGTTCTGGTTTGCGAACTTTTTTCGGAAGCCGGACATCCGACGTGGCTTCAATGGAGTGCAAGAAGCTCCTGCAGCCAATCGGAAGTCGTGCCTTGGTTTTCGAACGTTTTCGGAAGTCAGATGGACTTCCGGAATGGATTCCATTCGAGAACCAATGTACGACTGTATTTGAAAAAGGCTGAATTGTTCAAAAACACAAAGCAGAGGTTTCATTCAAGACTGAGTTCCCAAAGTGTCTCTCGATAGCTAGTGACTCTTCACTCACCTCTTGTCAACACTGAATAACTCACATTAGGCGTAACTTCTGATAAGCCCCCTTAGTATTTGCAATCCTAGTACTGTACTCCAGTATTTCCACTCCTGTGCCAGTGATGGAAACCAGAAGCTCTGTCTGCTCACGTTCTTGATCTAACTCTGTAGATGCCTTTTCACTTTGTACCTACTGCCATCTGCAGGCACTTACAAAGGACAACATGTGACTGGTTCATGAGTGCCCCAGTGCCATCTAACGGCAACCTGTGGGCCAAATTAAACACACTTGCAGGTTTTGTGCCTTTTTTTCTATTTAGTCCAAATAGGAAAGAGGTGTGCGTGTGTGCGCGCACGTGTGCATGTGTGTGCTGATTCAGGATTAAGACTACAAGCTAGGGGTTTCTAACCACTTCCTTACTCACCATGAATCAGATGAAAGTCACCCCCCCCAAAAAAAAAAATAGCAGCTCTCACCCCACAGAAGGACTCTTCCCATTGGTTCCAGCACAGGAGAAATGGGAGATCTTTTCCTGCCCAAAGGACTTGTGCAATTAAGGCAGGCAAAGTTATATGGCCAGTACCATGTGTAATGAGCCCCATGGAGGTGTCATGGCAGGAATGGTCAAATAGTCAAATGCGCTCTATGTGGGGCTACCTTTGAAGGTGACCCAGAAACTACAACTAATCCAGAAAGCGGCAGCTAGACTGATGACTGGGAGTGGCCGCAGAGACCATATAACACTGGTCTTGAAAGACCTACACTGGCTCCCAGTACGTTTCCGAGCACAATTCAAAGTGTTGATGCTGACCTTTAAAGCCCTTAAATGGCTTCAGTCCAGTATACCTGAAGGAGCGTCTCCACCTCCATTGTTTTGCCCGGACACTGAGGTCCAGCGCCGAAGGCCTTCTGGCGGTTCCCTCGCTGCAAGAAGCCAAGTTACAGGGAACCAGGCAGAGGGCCTTCTCGGTAGTGGCACCTGCCCTGTGGAACACCCTCCCACCAGATGTCAAAGAGAAAAATAACTACCAAACTTTTAGGAGACATCTGAAGGCAGCCCTGTTTAGGGAAGCCTTTAATGCTTAATATGTTATTGTATTTTAGTGTTTTGTTGGAAGCCGCCCAGAGTGGCTGGGGAAACCCAGCCAGATGGGCGGGGTATAAATAATAAATTATTATTATTATTATTATTATTATTATTAGGAGGAGGAGGAGGAGGAGCTCAGGTGTCAAGGTGCTGTCAATGAGCCAGGGCAGGCACAGGGCAGGCACACACACGGAAGGCACGGAATGCAATTAGCTTTTTATTAGCAGAAAAAAACAGCAATACAGCAATGTCCCTGGTTTGTCTTAACTCAACGAAGGCGTTGCTGAAACTAAGCCCTAGGTATGCCCTTACCCTCTAGCCGCTCATTCTGGATCCCTCCCTGGCAGACGAAGGCTGCTTCAAGGGGATGTCCTCCTCCTCAGGGCCAGTCTGACGCATTGCTCAGCAACATGCAGAATCCTCCACAAGCAGGGAGTCACAAGGGGTGGGAAGTCAGCAGGACTGGGACTGTCTGCACACCCACTGGCTCTCAGCTTTTAATCCTGACCTGGAGGACCCTCCTTCTCCTGTTGCCCCTTGATCGCTCAAGTGCCCTGTTTTTATCAGCTTCCAGCTCATCCTTTCCACTAATTTCTCCTAAGTGTCCCACCACCAGGCTCCGGGCTCTAAGGTGTTATCCCTGGGGGGCTCTTGGGAGGCACTCTTGTTCATCTAGCCCAGGGGTCTGCAACCCGCGGCTCCGGAGCCTCATGTGGCTCTTTTACACCTTTGCCGCGGCTCTGGGGCGGATACTAGCGAGGGGAGGAGGTGCATTGTGTGCCCCGACACTCCCCACTGTGGCGGGCGCTGTACTGGCTGTGACGTCGCATGGGGGTGGTGCGTGCGTTAGTCACGCACCGTCCCGACGTCACCTTCCCGCCCGCTGTCAGATCGGAGAGCAGCGGCGCGCATGCTTTAAATGTTGCAATGGTTTTGCGGCTCCCAGGTTTTTTTCCCCTTCGGAAACGGGTCCAAGTGGCTCTTTTTGTCTTAAAGGTTGCAGACCCCTGATCTAGCCAGTCCAAGCTCTCTCTGGGGGATACGTAGTCTCAGTACTGAACTACCCCCATCTCCTGCCCTATTCATTCTGTACTATATACTGAAAGGGAATGGACCATGGCAGGCTCCCTAAAACCTTGCGATTTCTCCTAGGAGCCGACCTCGCAGCTGTGGACCCAGTGAAAGGAAAGACAGCGCGGGAATGGGCAGCCCTGACGGGGCGCTTTGAAACAATTGTCCGGATCCGAACCCTTCTGCAGCGCCCATGCGCCGAGCAGTTCTGCAGCAAGTACTTGCCGCAGTGGCCCGCTCTGCCCGAGCTGGTGGCGCAAGCAATGGCCACAAAATCCAGAGCCAAGCGGCTGTCGGAGACGATATGCTCCACCTTCACCATAAATTTCCCGCACGACCCTGAGCCGGATGGTGTGATGGACCACATGGTGCGCATGACCACTTGCTTGGCCAGTCCGTTCGTGGGCACTGCTTGCCAAACCGTCTGCCCTGACAGCCCGCCGGAAGTGGGGAAGCAGAGACTCTCGGTGCCCGAGATCCTCAAGGAGTACACGCCGGATCCTGATGCCAAATCCATGGTTAGTGCGTCAGCCTGCAATGGCCAGCTCATGACACCCACCCGGGTTCTGGTGCCCTACCGGCCCCCAGCACCATCGTCAAGCTGCTGTCGTTCCCCTTGCGCATGCGCCATAACAGCATCTATCCCGTCCCGAAAATTGAACTCACCAAGTCGCCTGCTCAGTCGCCACCCAAGGAGAACGTGCCGCCGCGTTCTCAGGACAAGCACATGCTAGAGCTGCCAAAGTGGCGCTATAAGGAGCTGAAAGAAGCAAAGAAGAAGAAAGAGGAGGAGGAAGGGAAACCCAAGAAGAAAGGGAAGGGAAAGGGGAAAGGCAAAGGCAAAGGCAAAAAGTCATAACAGCTTGGAGGAGGGGAGCTGGACAGATTGGGAAAAGAAACTGCAGTCAGCTCGCATTCCAAGTGTAAATTTCCACTCGCAGACAGATCACTTCCGTCATAATTCATCAGTCTCAAAAGTAATTTTTAAAAGGGACGTTTTGCTTACCTTATTCCCTGATGACTGACCCTAAGGACTATTATGTAGTGTTTGAGTACAATGGAGGTTCCTTGCTTCAAGTCACTCACCCCTATCCAGAGCCCCCAAAACTTCTTGATCTCCCATTGTGGAAATAAGCTTTTTCAGAGCATCAGAACTTAATCCCTGTTCTCCCTGTTTCCCAAAAGAGAATGTGATAATAACCAAGATTTATGGCTTACCTGTCATTAATCACCACATAATTATCTCTGTCGACGGAGTATGGACAGTAGACGACTAGTCCGCCATCTTCCTCTCCCCGGAAGTCTCTACTCCAGTGGTTTTAGATAACATTATTGCCCACTCATCATTCTTGACCAGCTCTTGCCAGACTAAGGGACTAACAAATGGGATGTGTGGAACAGGACTGGGTGCTTCTTGAGGAAGGGAACGCAGAGTAGAGCAGTGGAAGTGGAAAGTGTTTAATCCCCATCCTGCCTGCCATTTCTCAGCTCCAAACTGCCGGATCCCATCAACCCCCCTTTCCCATTCTCCCATGTTTCAGATGTGTGTTTGCCCTTATGTGGGGTGGAAGGTGCTAGCCCCCCCCCCCCCATGCATGCACACAAACACACACTTCTCCACTCTAAAAAAATTCCTTCCAGTAGCACCTTAGAGACCAACTAAGTTTGTTATTGGTATGAGCTTTCGTGTGCATGCACACTTCTTCAGATACACTGGAGCAGAATTCTAAATTCCCTTCTCTCAAAGCAGCTCTGTTTAAAAAGGCATCAGGGAACGGCCACATACATACACATCAGCTCTGGATTTAGGATGGTGTGGGGAGTTCCCCCACTCAGGGCACCAAGCCAAAGGGGTGCAAAATAACAACAACATCATCAACAACAACAACAATAACAACAACAGCAACTTGTATTTATACAGGTACCTACTGAGATGTTCCATAAAAAAGCAACTGTACCAAAAAGAATTTTTGTGAAAGGAGGCAAAAGGAATTACACTCATACCTCGGCTTGAATGTGCTTCAGGTTGAGCGCTTTCGGGTTGCGCTCCATGGCAACCCGGAAGTAACGGAGCGCGTTATTTCCAGGTTTCGCCGCTCACGCATGCGCAGACACTCAAAATGACGTCACGTGCATGTGCGGAAGCGGCAAAACGCGACACCCGCAGACGCGCCGTCGTGTCTTAACGTTTCATTCAGGATGCGAACGGGGCTCCGGAACGGATCCTGTTCGCATCCCAAGGTACCACTGTATTAGAAGGGGGTGGGAATCATTGCTCAGGGCACCATATTACCAAAGTCCACCCCTTTTCACACTGGTGGTTTGACATATAGTTCACCCCTAAGACTCCGATCTCACCAAGCCCTTGTTGCTTCCAAGGAAACTCTACGCTAAGGTGAAGATGGAAGTTACATTGGTAGATAAGCAGGGCTGGGTTGGAAATGCCCTTTCCACCTTTAGTGCAAATTATACACTCATTCTCTTGCACCAGATCTCAAGCTCTGGGATGGTGGGCAGCAGAAGTGGACTGTGGATAGCACTTGTGATGTCATCCAGATAGCACAATAGCACCTGTGATGTCACCTCCCATATCTCCAAAGCGGTCTTGTCCTCGTTTGTAACACCTGCCCTGAAAACTGTGCAGCTGAGAGGAAGATGAGCGCAGTCTATATAAGTATAGAATCCCCAGCGACTTCTCTTTACTTCCATCTTCACCCTTAGCAAGGCCCCAAGGTGCTCTTCTCAAAATATTCACAGTTCTCATACAGATGCAAAGAGACTCAGATTTTGCCATAGCCCTGTCAACTATACCCTTGTCTCATAACCGTTTTGCATTTTGCTGACTTGGCAAAAAGTTCCTGACAAATCCCACCTGTACCGTAAGCCTTACAGTAAAGTTGGGGTTTGTCAAAATTTCTCCGCAATGCTTTTTTCCAAGCCTTATTGTTTTCAGGGAGAGGGAAGGGACACACACAGAGGGGGGGGGCAGGTTCATTATTTAACCCCGGAAATTTTGGATCCCCTTCAAACCGGTGTGTGAGAGAGAAAGAGACAGAGAGAAGGAATGGCTGACTGAAGTATGTTTGTTTTTCATGTGTGTGTGTGTGGCGTGTGCTGTACATGTGGATGCATGGACGCATGGGATGTGTATACGCATGTGTTGGGGCACTATAGAGAGGGTGAGGTGGCCCCACCCACTGCCAGCTTTAGCCACTCCCACTATGTCCACACCCACTTTTGGTTTGATTGCACCCACCACTACCATGTGGCCTCCAAAAGGTTGGCCTTGAGGAAATTCAGCCCTCTGGCCGAAAAAGCACAAAGGATCACAAATTTCAGATATCAGCAGCTCAAGGGAACAGGAGCTACACAACCAGCAAGAAATTTAATACTGAGAGGAGTTTGCAAATGTCGATGAGTTCCTTCTTCCACCCCAGGCATACATCTGCAAGTGGACTTCTTCTCCTGCTTGCAGTATGGTGCTTTTAGGACCAAGTAGGAACCACCTAAAGTTCACTTCAGAAAATGGTGCCGCAAAACCCCATGATGGTGACGTTTCTTGGATAATTTGGACAGGGCAGGCCATCCTAGCTCTGCTTTTATGCACACAGGTTGTCCGGGCTGACCTGAGGGGATCTTCCAAGAGGGAGCCAGGAGGCCTTTATAGACCTTCTCAGTAAGGACAGGCTGGTGGGCAGAGTTGCTCCAGTAGCTGGGAATCCTTTAATGCCCAGAGACGTACTTCACTTGGGGTAGCTACACACAGCACAACAGGAGCCCAGTCCTAGCCCTTCCTGATGCCTTGTCCAGAGAGAGCTTATTTTGCTGCTAGAGTGGCTCTGTGTCCTACTTTACAAAAGTGCTCTATTCCAAGAATACAGGAGGCCCTCCAGATGTTGTGAGCTACAACTCCCATGGCCTACGATCAGGCACCATGTTGGCTGTCCCTGCTCCATTCAAAGAGCTCTCTGGTGCCAGTCCAGTTTAAGAGGTAAATAGCACAGGTGCACGTTGACAGTTAACACCTGGGCAGCGGGCTGAGATGTCGCCTGGTTCCAGTCCTCCCTGCTATGATGAGGTGTACTGTATTTCTATGTGAACTATAGTAATTCTTTCTAAATTTGCATCTGTATGGATCAGGTCATATGCAAACTGGGCCCTCCGTTTTGGGACGACAACTCCCATCATCCCTAGCTAACAGAACCAGTGGTCAGGGATTATGGGAGTTGTAGTCCCAAAACATCTGGAGGGCCGAGTTTGCCTACGCCTGGTATATATGATACGCACATTCCATGCAAATCTGCCCTTGTTTGTCCTCTTTTGTTGGTGATGCATGTCCTCCTCTTCTTCTTCTTTTTGCAATGATTAAGCGCTCGCCCTATATTACTGGGTGTGTAGGGTGGGCCAGGGCAAAAGGAGAAGGGGCCCTTTATGTCTTCTTGATTTTAGGAAACCCTTAATAAAACGGAAAGTGATTGCTGTATGTGCATTTATTAATAAACAAAACCTCAGAGCTGTGTCCGCTTGGTTGTTGCTGTTCAGGGACGCGGACTTATAAAAAATATTGGGGGGGCCCGGGAAAGCTCATGAATAATAAATAAGCTCATGAATATGCAAATAAAGTGGCGCCGCCTCCTCGTGAGCGAATAGGGGAGAGCGTGCTGCACCTATTAATCAGCTCCAAAGGAAATTGGGTGGAGCTTTTGCTCGGGAGGGAGGGCAGGAGGCATGCAGCCCGCCCCTCCCTGTGCATTTTGGGCTGGGGGAGGGGCGGCGATGGCGCTCTGCTGGAGGGGCGCCGGAGATTATTGGGGGGGCGGAGCCCCCCCAAACGAATTTTTGAGGGGGCTCGGGCCCCCTCAAGCCCCATGGAGTCGGCGCCTATGTTGCTGTTCCCATCACCGCCAACAGGACTGGATTAGATTATAGGAAGCTTACAAAATAGTTCTGTGCCGATACCTTTGTGTTAAACATAAATAAAAATCCATGAGGCCGCTAAAGCCACTTACTTTGGACAGAGAAGAGATGAGCAAGTTGACCATATTCATAGGAGGGCAGGGACTCTTTAGGACTGCAGTCACCACCAAGAAAGCCAATGGTAGCTTCCCAGGCCTGGGGAGATGGTCTCTACTGGACGGCAGCACAGGTAGAAAGAGTTTTAAAAACAAAACACTACATCATGTACCATGATGCTGATCAAGATCTCTCTCGCCATAAGGTAGGTAAAGGTAAGGGGACCCCTGACCATTAGGTCCAGTCGTGACCGACTCTGGGGTTGCAGCGCTCATCTCGCTTTATTGGCCGAGGGAGCCGGCGTACAGCTTCCGGGTCATGTGGCCAGCATGACTAAGCCGCTTCTGGCGAACCAGAGCAGCGCACGGAAACGCCGTTTATCTTCCCGCCAGAGTGGTACCTATTTATCTACTTGCACTTTGATGTGCTTTCGAACTGCTAGGTGGGCAGGAGCAGGGACCGAGCAACGGGAGCTCACCCCGTCGCGGGGATTCGAACCGCCAACCTTCTGATCGGCGAGTCCTAGGCTCAGTGGTTTAACCCACAGCGCCACCCATGTCCCTTTCTCTCTCCATAGATGCTGTTATAAACCGCTTTAGGGTGTTTTTTTAGAGACAACTAAACAATAACAAAACAAAACAAAAATCTGTTTTCTGCTCCTCCAAATCCCAGAAACATGGCTCAGTGGGAATGTTCTGTAGCGGCATTACACAATATGCTGAAATAGCAAATGAATACAAAATCCCAAGCCTTTTATATGTGCCAAGCTTCTGTATTTTCATTTTTTCT